TAAAAACCATAATCCCGAAGATGGTGGTATGAGGAGGCTTTGTGACGTGATAAGATCACAAGATCAGAGCTCTCAGGAATCTGATGAGTGACTTTTAAAAGAGGCCCAAAAGCTCTCTACCTCCTTCCACTATATAGGACACAGTGAAAAGATGGTCATTCGTGAACCAGGCAACCGCCCTCAGTAGACACTGAATCTGCTGGTCCCTGAATCTTAGACTTTTCAGCCTCCAGAAGTGTCAGAAGTAAATTTTCATTGTTTATAAAACACTGTTTTTTGTACTAGATATTGAACTCAGGGGTGTTCTGCCACTAAGTATACTCCAAGCACTTTTTATTTTTTGAGATTGGGTCTCACCAAAGTACTGAGACTAGCCTCAAATTGTGATACTCCTGTCTCAGATTCTGAGTAACTGGGATCACAGGCATGTGCCATAGCCCTAGTCAAGCCATTCAGTATTTGATATTTTATTATAAAAGCCCAAAAGGACTAATATGATTATAATACCAAGGTGACATAGATGTTAGAATTATATGACAAAGATTTTAAAGCAACCATGATAAAAATTCTTCAATGAGCAAATAAGAACATACTTGAAATGAATGAAAAAAGTCTCAACAAAGAAACGAAGTTCGGGCAATAATATAGAAGATAGAGTAAAATGGAAGATAGGTGTGGTGATATGCATACTTGTAATCCTAGCTACTTATAGGCTGAAGCAGGAGGATGGCAAGTTTGAGGCCAGCCTTGGCAATTTAGCAAGACACTGTCTCAAAGTAAAAAATGAAAAGGGCCTGGGAATATAGCTCAGTGGCAGAGTGCTTCTTGTTCAAGCCCCAGTTTTGGAAAAAAAAAAAAGAAAGAAATAAAATGGAAATTTTAGAACTAAAAAATAATTCCAGCTACTCAGGAAGCTGAGGCAGGAGGACCACAAATAAGAGGCCACCCTGGGCAATAAATTTAGTGAGATCCTATCTCAAGCACACATACACACACACACACACAAACACACACACACGTGCATAACTATAACTCATTTAATATTAAATAATTTGAGTAGTACTATAAATGGAATTTGCAATAAAAGTTCCCCAAAAGAAATCTCCAATCCCAGTTTTCAATGGAGAAATTTACCAAATGTTTAAAGAAGAATTAATACTAATTCTGTATAATCTTTTTCAGAATATGAAGTAAGAAGAAACACTCTTTAGTTCATTTTATGAAGCTAGTGTTGAGGAGGAAAAACTTTTCCTTTCTTTTGTTCAATGTATAAGGACTAGCAAATTAAACTAATAAAAGATTAACAGAACAGAAAATCAGCAAGGGCACAGAAGAACTAAACACCACCATCAACTTATAGTTCTGAATAAGTCTTTTTATACAAAACTCCCCCAATCCTAGCATGCTTGAGGCCCTGGATTCAATCCCCACTACTGAAAGTAAACAAACAAACAACAAATCATCAACAACAAACTCCTCCCAAAGACTTATTTTTATATACGCTGATGCTAACAAAAGGAGGAGCTAGTTACTAACTGATTGAAGTTAGAGGCTTAGTAGATATAAGTTGGGAAAAGGGAATGCGGAGGAAGGTTTCTATAAGAACAAGAAGTAGCTGGGGCTCTGAGGGTTTTTTCCTGAGGAGCTGTTTTGTTTGGCATTTGTAGTTCTAAAAATAAAGTTAGTTTCTTTTGAAAAAAAAAAAAAAAAGAACAAGAATTGGTGTTTTTTTTTTTTTTAATTGAGGTTTTGGGAGAAGATAGGAATTTGTGAAAACCACTTAAGCTGTGTGGTTTTTCAGACTTCTTTACACCATGAAATTCCCCTGAGGAAGGAAATTATGGCAGCTTCAATTCCATGAGGTTGCTTCTTTTAGGATGATAAAGGAAGCTCCCAGAAGGATTTTTTTTTACATCTTTTGAATTTGCAATGTCTGCAGCTTAAAATAATCTTCAAACCAATTCTATGGCTCCCTACACTAGCATTACCTGATGTCCAAACCAGATAAGAAAACTATGAAAAATACACTTATACCATTCTTAAAATGGAACAAAGAATGAAACATAAGACCAACCACTATAAAACATTTAGAAGAAAATGGGAAAAGCTTCATGACATTGTATTCAGTAATGATTTCTTATATATGACGTCAAAAGCACAAGCAACAAAGGGAAAAGTCAGTCAACTGGACTTCATCAAAATTATGAAGCTTTGTGCATGAAGGGACACTATCAACAGGAGGAAAAGGCAAATGCTAGAATGGGAGAAAATGTCCATCATACATCTGATAAGGGACTAATATCTACAATATGCAAACTATTCCTAAAACTCAGCAAAAACAAACAATTCAATTAAAAAATAGACAAAGGACCAGGTGCTTTAGCGCACATCTGTAGTCTCTTGTTAGTCCCTACTGAAACAGGAGGATCATGACTCTGAGGCCAGCCTTAGCAACATAGTGAGGCAAAGCTTGAATGGACTACATATTTATCTAAGGAAGATAAACAGCTGACTAATAACAAACACATGAAAATGCTCAATATCCTAATCATTAGGAAAATGCAAATCAAAAATATCACTTCACATCCATTAAGATGGCTGATATAAGCATGTGTACACATACAATCACACAGAAAATAACAAGTGTTGAAGTATGTGAAGAAATTGGAACCCTTGTACATCACAGGTAGAAATGTAAAATGGTGCAGCTGCTGTGGAAAACATTTTGGTGATTCTTTACAAAATTAAATACAGAATTACCTTATGATCCAGCCATTTTACTTCTGGATATATACCCATGAGAACTGAAAGCAAGGACTTCACAGATATTTGTACACTCATTTTTATAGCATTATTCACAATCAAAAAGTGGACGAAACTTGAATGTCCACGGATGGATGGATCATAAACAAAATGTGGTATTATCCAGATTTATAAAGGAATTTCCTTCTGACATGGAAAGACATGGATGAACTCTGAAGGCATTATTTTAAGTGAAATAAACCAGGCAAAAAGGACACATATTTCAAGACCACGCTCATTTTAAGTATCTAGAATAGTCAGATTCAGAGATAGAAAGTAGTGTTTGGCATATATCATTTAGAAATCTCATCAACTTTTATTTTTTTTACTTTTTTTTCTTTTGAGATGGGGTCTTGTTATGTTGTCCAGGCTGGTCTCCAACCCCTGGACTCAAGTTATCCCTCTGCCTCAGCCTCCCCAGTAGTTGGGACTATAGGCTTACACCACCTTCACCCTTCCTCCTAGTTTGTAGAGAGAAGGATTAATTCTGACTTGACAAAAAAAAAAAAAAAAAAAAAAAAGAAAGAAAAGGAAAAGGAAGACAGACCCTCAGGGGATTCTTAAAAAAAGAATAAAAACCTTCTTAGGAGTCTGATGCTCCCATGCCTTATAAATTTTGTATGTATTTTTTCCTGTTTTTTTTTTTTAAATTTTAACTAATTTAGAATTTCATGGGAGAAACGATTTGGCAGATTCTTATTCCTGCTAGAAATTTGAAAGTCATACTTTCTGAGTTGGCATGAAGAGGCACACTGAATTTGAAAAATGTAATTTGGATTTCTATGAAGTCAGTTAATACACAAAGAATATGTTTGGCAGGTATTAAGTCTTAATAATAGTTCCTACTGCTATCTTCATTGTGTGTTCGAGGGGGAGGAAAATATTATAAGAATATACTTTGGAGAATCTTGTACCACAAATGGTGCATGTCTGAGGTACACAGGCAAAACATTTAAAAAAATCCTGTCTCTGGGGAAACTGTGAAAATTGAGACTGTCTGCTTATGTAATAGGAGTGTGGGGATTAAATCAGATAAAGTTTGTTTTTGTCTGGGGGATTGAACACCTGGGCGCTTTGTGAGCTACTCCAGTCTCTTTTGTTTAATTTTGAGATAGAGTCTCATTAAATTGTTTAAGGTCTCACTAAATTTGCTGAGATTGGCCTCCTGCCTCAGCCTCCTGAGTGGCTGGGATTACAGGCTTGGGCCACCCCACCAGGCTGGGATAAGATATTTTTAAAAACCCGTGACTATTACTGTGAAACAGTAGAGGCTATAATAGCATAGTGATTAAGATCAAGCGTGTGGTTCCCAGCTTCAACACTTAGGTACACTAAACTTCAGAGTCCATGAATTTGTAACCACAGTAACGTCATTTGTCAGGTATCTTCCCAGGACCATAATGAGAATTAAACATGATCTTTCACATAAAGACTTTAGAATAATGTCTGGTACAAAGCAAATAACCCATTATCATTTCTTTGATGAGAATTTCTCTAATTCATTTGGAGAATGCATCATACACACCCACACACCACACATTTATTTGTAGGGTAGATGCGCAGAAAAACTCTCAAGGGACAAACGACTCGGTTGACAGTACTAGCCTCAGCAAAGGGGATCAGCGGAAGGAGGTGTTAGCGGACAAGAGAAACTTTCATCGCACACACTTAAAAAAGCCATTTAATTTAAAAATAGGTAATTGAATCAAAGATCTCAGAATAAAAATGATGTACCGAGGAAATTTTCCTTCCCATTCCATCCCCTACTCACTCCGTCCTTTTACTTTTCCGTGTATTTTTTTCAACGACGAACGCATTAACTCCCTAGCTTCACACGAAGACGGCCTTTCTCTACCTCCGTCTGCAGGTGGACACCTTCCCTTTGGCTGTGACGGATTCCACCCCCTCCCCGCCCCGCCCCGTCCGCTGTTGTAAATAAAACACACACACATGCACTGGCGGACAGCCCGGCGAGCCCGCACCACCTCCAAGCCGCCCCCGCCTCCCGCAGGCTCACGTGCTCCCTAGGCCCCCTTCGCGGGCTGTTTCCGGCGATGCCTGTCTGAAGCGCCAGTCTGAAGCTCCGCCTATTCTCTCTTTCCCGGTCTTTGGAAGCACCCCTTAGCGCCGGGCACGTCGGGCGGCGCCTCAGGCAGCGCGGGGGACAGGCCGGCCTCCGGCGCGCCGCGGGCTTCGGAAGACCCCAGCGACGGCCGTGGCGTAGAGCCGGGTGGACGCGGCGGTAGCGGCGGGCGTAGCGGCGGGCGTTGCGACTGACTGCGCGGGTTGTCTGCAGGACTCGCTTCCCTGGCTGCCCTCGCCGTGCTGGCTGATTGTTGTGCGGCCGGCGCCATGTCTGTGAGCGAGATCTTCGTGGAGCTGCAGGGCTTTTTGGCTGCCGAGCAGGACATCCGAGAGGCGAGCCCCTCCCTCCCATCCCCTTTCCCTTCCCTTGCCTAGCTGGGCCACACAGCCCGGCCCTCCTGCGTCGCTCAGTCTCGGGCGGTGGGGACACCTCCGAGGGTGGGTTGATTCCCCTTTAGTGTCAGGTTAGGGCACCTCCCTACCCCGGCCCTGGATTCCACTGCTCCCCTGAGTCCGTGTTCCGGGTCTCCGCATCTCAGCATCACCTGCTTCATATGAGTGTCAGTTTTCCTCTTTTTCAGCATTTGTTTATGTCGAAGGCTTGGTTAGTGTCCGGGTCTCTGTCAACACGTTTTCTCTGTTGTTGGTGTCTTAAAAGCACATGTGACCTCATCTTTTAAAATATCTCCTATGACTTCTCTTCCCACGTAGAATAAAAATGCGGACTCGATTCTAATCTACAAGGTCTCTCTCCAATCTCATTTTACAGTTTCTCTTTCTCTATTACGTTCAAGTAATCTCCTTTTTGTTCCTCTAGCGATAGAAATAGTTTCCTGCCTCAGGACTCTTGCATTTACTGTTTGCTTTTCTTGGAATTTGCTTCTTTCATCATATTCAGCTTTTGACCTCGCAGTCTAATTGGTTCTCCCATATGTTTTCTAGTAGCACGTTAACTTTTTAAAAATTTGTGTGAGAGGGCTGAGGTTGTGGCTCAGCGGTAGAGCACTCGCCTAGCATGTGCGAGGCCCTGGGTTCTATCCTCAGCACCACATAAAAAAATAAATAAAATAATGATTGTGTTCAACTACAACTAAAAAAATAAATATTAAAAAATAAAAAAATTGTGTGATAATTGTTATTTTAAATGTCTGATTTTCCTTTTGTTTGCTAAACTGCCAGAGGGTAGGGACCGTCTGCTTGGTTTCCCAGTATTTATACAGTTTCTAGTACATAAATTTACTCAGATATTTGTAAAATAAATGAAATGAAAAATATCCAACCGGCCTATTGCATCCAATTCTTCATTACATTCAAATCCTTTAATTTTTATAGTGTCTTATGTGAAGAATGATGGATGGCTATTATCTTTTTTCTTTTGGTGCTGGAGATTTAAACCCAGGGCTACTTTACCAATGAGTCACATCCCCAGTCCTTTTTATTTTAAGACAGGGTTTGCTAAGTTGCTTAGGGCCTCAGTAGGCTGGCTTTGAACTTAAGATCCTCCTGCCTTAACCTCCTAAGCCACTGGGTTTACAGGTGTGGGATGCCCAGGGTCTACTATTTTTTGAAGCCAACTGAGGAATCTGACTTTTTAGTAATCTCCTGAACGTCTCACAGGGGAAATAAATGGAAAAGTCAGTATTCAAACCTGATTACATACTAATTAGACTAAATAAAAAAATTTATTTTCAAAACAAAACAAAACAAAAATAAACAGACCTGATTATTTTTTATACAGGTTCTATCTTTGTGAAGGATTTTGTATTTTAAATGTATATGACAGTGTGATAGATCAAATCTAGTGTGTTTGGTATGAGTCTATGATAGTGATTGTGCTGAGTTTATCTGATTTTGATTTTTAATTCTCTCTAGGAAATTCGTAAAGTTGTACAAAGTTTAGAACAAACAGCTCGAGAGATTTTAACTCTTCTGCAAGGGGTCCATCAGGGTGCTGGGTTTCAGGACAGTAAGTTTGTTTTGATTTTGAATATCTGTATCAAAATTATTATTAAAATTTTTAAATTCTAATTAGTTATACATGACAGTAGATTGCCTTTTGACACATCATACATAAATGGAGTATAACTTGTCATTCTTCTGGTTGTAAATGATATATGTATCAAAACTTTTGATTTCTTATTTAGTTAATTTCCATGCAGAATGCGTACTTGGTCTGTCTCATTTTATTGTGAAAAATGTCCATTATGCGTTCTGGTGAATAGAAATTGGAGCAGGTATTTCGATTAGACTGTAGGTTTATAATATTTTTTTGGTACCAGAGATTGAACTCAGAGGCACTTGACCACTGAGCCACATCCCCAGCCCTATTTTGTATTTTATTTAGAGATGGGGTCTCATTGAGTTGCTTAGTGCCTCAATTTTGCTGAGGCTGGCTTTGAGCTCACGATACTCCTGTCTCAGCCTCTGAAGGTTCAGGGATTGCAAGCATTGCAACCGTGCCTGGCCCAATGTGTTTCCTAATATATTCCCTTCACACAAGTTTTTGCTTATTTTTTAATTTGGTAGGGGAACTAGTTATGAGTTTTAGAGCCAGATGGAAAAGCAGAGATCTGTTTGTGAAAGTTTTAAAGAAGTTTAACTTTCAAGTAGACTGCATAGATTATTAAGCAAGAACTGTATTTGAAATTTGGTAAGTTTTTCACATTTGATTATCTTTTGTGATTAGTTCCAAAGAGGTGTTTGAAAGCTCGAGAACATTTTGGCACAGTAAAAACACATCTAACGTCTCTGAAGACCAAGTTCCCTGCTGAACAGTATTACAGGTTTGTTAAAAAAAAAAAAATCTTGTTTTATAACGTTAGGTAAAAATTGCAGACCAAAAATTATAGGTACCGAATGATTGCTTATGACCACTTAAAAATCTCTGTATATAGAGGAAACAACAAAAAGAATCATACTGATAGTAGTGGCAACTAGATTGATTTTACTTTCTTCATTTTTGAAAAATTTCTTAAGAAATATGTCTAATTTTTTCAGTGGAAAAGTAATTAGGAAAATATCTATTGTATGAATGTCAAATTGAGAATATATTTTTGCTATATTCATGTTTCTTACAATCAGATGAACTGTATTTATGCTATGAGATCAGGTTGAATTAGATATATGGAGTTAAATTTTATCTCAAAACTTGAATTTTGCTGCCAAGGAACTTTTTTTTCTTTTGGGACTGGAATTGATCTTAGGTATGCTCCTCTACCATTGAGCTATACTCATGCCCACAGTCTTTTTTTCTTTTTTTAATTTTAATACAGAGTCTTGCTGAGTTGGTTAGGGCTCCTCTAAGTTGCTTAAGCTGACTTTGAACTTGATCCTCTTGCTTTAGCATCTTGAGTTGTGGGACTACAGGCATGCACCACTGTGCTTGGCCCAGAGGGCATATTAAGTTAATATTTTATGCTATATCTTATTGAATCTACAACACCTTTAGTCTTACAACTACTGTTATTTTATATACCTATAGGGAAGAAAAAGGTTGCTAGTCATGATTGGGAAATGTAGGTCATAAAATATATATCTAGATATTGTAGATGTTAAACTTTGGAAAAAGTGCATCTGAGTGTTGATGAGATAAATAAGAGTCAAAAATTTCTACGTTCTTTTTTTTACTAAAAAAGTTATTCTTTTGAAACATATAATTAATAAATGGTTGGGATGTATATGAGGGGTAAATAATGTAACTGCACAAAAAAATTCTTTATGGCAGGGCTTGGCAAACCATTAGTGGCCTACTGCCTCAAAGATAAGGATGGCTTTTATGTTTTAAAGGATTGTTAAAAGAAAAACTCAAGAGTGTGTGACAGAAAGTGAAAGTGGCTCACAAGGTGTAAAATGTTCACTACCTGGCCCTTTACAGAAAAAGTTTGCTGACCCTTGCTGTAAGGTAATGACTGAAACTCATGGAGGTAGGACAGTAGAACTGGCAGGGTCCTTAGAAACCAGTTACTCTTGAGGTCACACATAGGTTGCCTTTTGGCTGGGTTTGCCCTCAGAAAATTTTGTTTGACCTGCATTGTGTTGAGAAACTTTTTTTTTTTTTTTTTTTTTGCTTTTGGAGAACATTTTTAATTATAAATTCAGTTTTAAAAAGAAACATTTTTTGAATTTGTTGCAACATTTGAAAATCAGCAGGCTTGGAATTCATATTTGGAGGAATAAGTAAAATTGCTATTTCTCTGTCAGGCTTTAGCTTAGTATCCGAGGTTTTTTTTCTGGGTGGGAAGGGGGGTTTCTATGTTTCCCAGTTTGGTTTTGATTAGCCTGAGCTCAAATGATTTTTCTGCTTCTGTTTCCTGAGTGTTGGGATTACAAGTGTGCCACTGTGCCCAGCAGTATCCTGAGTTTTTAAGTTCTCTATTTAGTGATTAGAAATGATAATTTTGTGAATTAGGATTTTCTTGATGCCCTATATTCAAAGTGTAGGAATAAATTAGATGGTGGCTGATATACAATTGCAGTTTTCATCAGTCTTCAGTTGCAATTTTTAATACTTTATATTCTGTGGTGCTGGGGATCAAACCCAGGTCTTTGCACATGCTAGGCAGCACTTTACCACTTAGCTGCTTTCAATTTTTTTTCTCAGAGCAGTATAACTTTTTTTTCTTGGTGCTAGGGATTGAACCTAGGGGCACTTAACCACTGTGCCACATCCCCAGCCCTTTTTATTTTTAATTTTGAGACAGGATCTTGCTAAGTTGCTGAGGCTGCCTTTGAACCTGTGATCCTCCTGCCTCAGCCTCCTGAGCTGCTGGGATTACAGGTGTGTGCCACTACACGAGCAAAGCAGTATCACTTTTTAAGCACCCTTACCCTTGTCATGGATAATTTTTATTGTAAATTTTGTATTTATCAAAATTGGATCATGCTTCTCATTGATTAAACTTATAATACAAGTAAATGCGTTAAGTTTGAATTTAAAAAAGTTTTACTAAATTATTTAATATATCTGAATGTCCTATTGCTCTTATATGTTTTATACATTGGATCTCACATAAGATTGTATTTGAAAATTTCTGAACATTTAGACATGCCTGTACTACACTGTCTCTCTGAAGATCCCTCACAACTTGAATGTGCTTACTTTTACACAGATTTCATGAACACTGGAGGTTCGTGTTGCAGCGCTTGGTCTTCTTGGCAGCATTTGTTGTGTATTTGGAAACAGAAACACTAGTGACTCGGGAAGCAGTTACAGAAATTCTTGGCAGTAAGTGTCTTCATTAGGGGGATTTGCAGAGTCAGGCATGGTAGCTTAGTTTTTGGTGGGAGGAGCTGTTGCTTGTACTTTCTATTTATTAAAACAAAGGAGAATTAAATAGGAAGCTCCTTTCTTGGAAACACAAAAACTAAAAAATGCTGTGTGGCTTACTCACTTATATCTGAGTAATCCTTTTTGTTTTCAAAATTTAATTTAGAAATGTTTTAAGCCTATAGAACAATTTAAAGAGGAGTAAAACGAACGTGTGTTTACAGTCCACTTAGATTTACCACTTTTTAAGCATTTTGCTGCATGTGTGTGTCTTGAATCTTGGAAGTCGATTGTAAATATCATGACTTCTCCATAAAGGCTTCATTTTTCATTTTTTAACAAGAAGGATATTCTTTGTCATAACTGGATACTCTTCTTTTTTTTTTTTTTTTATGAAGTGCTGAGAATTGAACCCAGTGCCTCACAAATGCTAGGCAAGAGCTCTACTACTAAGCTACAAATCCAGCCCCTGGATACTACTCTTTTTTTTTTTTTTTTAAATATTTATTTTTTAGTTTTCGGCGGACACAACATCTTTGTTTGTATGTGGTACTGAGGATCGAACCCGGGCCGCACGCATGCCCGGCGAGCGCGCTACCGCCTGAGCCACATCCCCAGCCCCTGGATACTACTCTTGATGGTATTACTTTTTCAGAGAAGACTGGAAGGAAAAATTGAACTTTGTTTAAGAGCTTGAAAAATCCACAGTGAGGTCTAGTTACTACAGATGTAAACACCTGAAAAACATAAATTATTTGTCCTTTCTTCATTTCTTTGAAATGAATTTTATATGTATCATACGTTTACATGTATGTTTGTTTTTATTTTTAGGTTTAAGTTGCATTCATATAATGACTTTGTTTTTATTTTGATATGGTTTTTAGTTGAGCCAGATCGGGAAAAAGGATTTCACCTGGATGTAGAAGATTATCTCTCAGGAGTTTTAATTCTTGCTAGCGAATTGGTAAGAAGCTCAGTAATTTGCAGATTGCCTTTTTGATCTTTCTTGCTTTCCTCTCAGTTTTTAAAGTGGAAACAAAACTTAGGAAGTCTTAATTTTGTAAGCCATTTTATCGGTCATCAGGTAGTCATTGATTGTACTGTATGTGTTACAGATAATGAGGTTTTCTTATTTTTTTGTGGTTTTTCTGGGGGTAAAACCCAGAGCCTTGTGCATGCTAGTCAGTTGCTATACCACTGAACCATGCATCTACCCCTGCATTTTTACTAATATGAAGTTTCAAAAGATGCTAATCCCTATTCATTTATAGTAGTGGCAAGTCATGTATTCCTAGTAACTGTGTTTTAATCAACTTTTGTGTTGCTGTGGCTATTGTATCTGACAAGAACAATATAGAAGAGGAAAAGTCTATCTTTGCTCATGGTTTCAGAGGTTCAGTTTGTGGTCAGCCAGCTCTATAGCTCTGGTCCCGAGGTGAGGCAGAACATCATGGCAGGTAGGTGTTGGGGGAGGAAGTGGTTCAGGACATGGCATCTGGGTAACAGAGATATCCACTTGCCAGGGATAAAATATAAACCTCAAGTGTCTACCTCCGTCACCCACTTCTCCAGCTATACCCTACTTGTCTATAGTTACCATCTGGTTAATCCATATTAGTGGATTAATCCACTGATTAGGTTACACCTCTCAGTCTAATCATTTCACCTTTGAATGTTCTTGCAACATCTCACATATGAGCTTTGGGGGACATCACATATCCAAACCATAACTCTGTATTAATTTTTATAATCATTTTAGCAATTTACCTGTATAATTGTAAGAGGTATTCTTATACATGATCCCCCAATCTCTCTTGGGAAATTATCCTGTAAGAAAAGTCTATAAAAGGAAAAAAGCTGTTAATAGCGGAGTTGAATACTGTGACAGAGACAGTGCAGCTTGTAGAGTTGAAAATATTTACCGTCTATCTCATTAAGAAAATTTGCCTGTCTTTGCTCCAAATGATAGGAGCCCAGGGCTGGTAATATTTTTCTTTGATTTTTGACTCTAGATTACTTTGGGGGGTTACCAGGGACTGAGCCCAGGGGCACCTAACCACTGAGCCACATCCCCAGCCCTTCTTAGGTTTTTATTTTGAGGTAAGGTCTTGCTAAGTTACTGAGGTTGGCTTTGAACTTGCAATCCTCCTGCCTCAGCCTCCCAAGTCGCTGGGATTATAGGTGTGCATCACCATGCTCAGCTTGATCCTGGATTCTTGTAGTTTCTAAGCTTCTTTCTTATATTCCAGAACTGTTGCTGTAATTCTGGTAATTCACATCTTCATCCCTGATAGTGGTAGGAGGAAATAGGAAAAGGCATATCCCTCACTTTAAGGATATTGGTTTGAAGTTGTCCACATAGTTTCTGTGTAATATTCTAGTGCTGTGGGACTGGGAAGGGTAGTTCAGTGGTAGAGTGCTTGCCTAGTATGTGTAAGCCTGGGGTTCAATTCCTAGTCCTGCAAACAAAACAAAAAGAACATTATAGTGCCTTGTTGTTAGGGAAGACAGAAATGGGGTATATGTGTGTGAGGTGAAAATTTGAGGAATTTCTCACTGAGGAAGATGGGGAGAAGTGATATTGGGGCAAACTAGCATGCTGTAGCACTTGACAGGCTTGTTGGAGACACAATACTTGAGTTCTGATACCTTGTCAATATCGTGATTAGTGTGAGTTGCTTTAAGTCCATATGTGTTGGGAATACACTAAATGGGTACTCTAGGAAAACTGGGGAGGATTTTATGGAGAAGGAAAATCTTGAGTTGGGTCTTCAAATTAGTCTTATCTGTTCTTCAAGACCATTTTTTCAATGACTGGATTTTAACTTCTTGTCCTATCTCTGATTTACTGATTTTAGGTTGCAGCTCTGTAGTTGCACTCTAAGACTGGTCATTTGGCCTGGAAAACATAGGCAGAGCTGCTGAGAGTATTCTACCATTTCTTTCTGCTATATGTTAGCTCATGAGTTATAAAGATGACACTTGCTTAACTTTACTGCATAATTGCACAATAGCCAGTTTAAGACATTAGTGAAATTATAGAAGACGTTGATTTTATTAAACCTGTATTTAACAGAAATGGTCTCATTTCTCGCATTTTTTTTTTTTTTTTTCCCTCAGAGAAGCTTCTGTTTTATCTGTGCTTAACCTGTACCTTAAGCAGAGAACATCAGCATAGCTTACTAGGCCTGAGGGTCCTCTAATTGTGAGCCACATGAAGTTGTACCAAGGAAGAACTACATTGTTACGTGCCCCTGTTTCTCTTTCCTTGTACAGTCTAGGCTGTCTGTCAACAGTGTGACTGCTGGAGACTACTCCCGGCCCCTGCACATCTCCACCTTTATCAATGAATTGGATTCTGGTTTCCGTCTTCTCAACCTGAAAAACGACTCCCTGAGGAAGCGCTACGATGGCTTGAAGTATGATGTGAAGAAAGTAGAGGAGGTGGTCTATGATCTCTCCATCCGGGGCTTCAATAAGGAGACAGCAGCGGCTTGTGTTGAAAAATAGGTGGCTCTCCCTGCTTCTGGCCTAGCTGACTTCAGCAGTTGCCAGGGATGGCTGAGCACATAGTGCCTCTTACCGTAGTTAGGATACCCAGTTGCTAAACACTGCGCTTTATTTTCTTAACCAGTTGTGTGGTGTGAGTATCAGAATTGAAACACTTTTTTGGGGATTAAAAAAAATAGCCTTTACATGGACAGATTTTTCTTTGTTGTTTCAGTAAATTTGCTCTGTAATTCGTTATATTTCAGTTCTGTCAAAAAGTGTAAATGTCAGTCTCTTGGTAAAGTCCTTTTCTTCCTTACCCTGACTGTGGATGTACTGATTGAGAAGTTCATTGTCTCGTTTGTGATTCTTCCAGAAGTGACTCGATATTTTCTATATCTAAGTTAGCCATCCATTTCCAGGTGTAGCCTGGATATAGTATAAAAATAGATAATTAAAAAGGATGGTTGGCAAGCAAGAACTTACTTTCTCTTCCTTATTTTAAGCCTGTGAGTAAATGAGATGTTGAATTTTTTTGCCAAGGGAATTAAAGCCCTGGGTTCTCTTTCACTGCCATCAGAATATAAAAGATTAAACTGCAAAGTCAAACTCAACAGATTATTTTGGAAGTTTTTGTATTAAGATATTTAGTAACATTTCATCATTTGGTTCTATCACTAGGGAAGTAGGCCTTTGTGTTTTAAAATACTTCTGCTTTCTGATGTTGCCTTAACATTCTGCTGTTGCAGCAATTAAAAATAGTTGTCACACACATCAACTTCATATGATACATTCCTAAACTATGAAACCTTCTTCCTAGCAGCCAGGTAGGTCATTTGATCTGGAAGTGTGAAGCCACGTGCAAGAATTAGCAATACCCTGGCGAGTGTGTCTTAGAGAAAAATGTTTTGTGTGGTCTGGAAGAAAGATGAAGCCTCAGCTTAAAAGGAAATATACATATATGTTTTTTCAAGTAAGAAATTTTAAGTTGGTGATGGCTATCCCAATAGATTTTAAATTTACAGTTTGGGGCAAGTCATAAATTTTGTGGATGCCCCAATTTTCTCCCCATTTTCAGATGGTATTAAGAATGCTTACCAGTCAACTCTTAATATTGAATTGAAATTATTAAAATAGCGGCTTAAAAAAGGGGTGTAGCTCAGTGGTAGAGCACTCACCTAGCATGTGTGAGACCCTGGGTTTAGTTCCTAGCACAGCAAAAAAAAAAAGACCCAACATCAAAAAAGGTGACTTAATCCACAGCTGTTTGGCACCCTCTGAAAGGAAGTTGCTAATGTTTCCAGAATAATGTGAAGTATTTAGAAGTATTATCTTTTCTTGCCTAATCACCAGTTTAGGCTTCCTATTTGTACTTTGGAGATATCTGGTGTTTATCAGGCTGAATTAAAGGCTGACTCCAATCATGAGGAAGGATGTGGAAACTAGGTGTGAGTTACTGTGCATTGGATTTTAGAACAGTTTTCTTGACAGTTCTTGCAGAGAGTTTGTAGAAAGAAAAGGATGTTAGATTCTTAAAAGTGCCTATGATGGTCACTTAGAATGTGTAGTAATATTACTGCCTGGATAAAAGTCTTTTCAGCTACATGACCAGATATAGAGTTTGATAATAATTTTTTTTTTTTGCCTGTAAGTATTGATTCTACTGGAGAATATTTTAAAGTTTTTTTCTAGAAGTTGTGGATTTCTTTCTCTCTCTCTCTCTTTTTTTTTTTTTTTGAGATAGCGTCTTCATGTTTCCCGGGCTGGTTTTGAACTCCTGGGCTCAAGTGATCATTCTGTCTCAGTCGCTCAAGTGGCTGGGACTATAGGCATGCACCACTTTATCTGGCTCTTGAATATCAGTTTTGATAAATACAGTTTAACTGGAAAAGTATATTCTGTTTTTTTAATTCCATTTGAGAGTTGAGAAGAGTCATGTTTATAATTATTCAGTCATGTTTCTTGCTGGCTTGTAAAGCAATAAAAAACTTTTTGGTCTTTTTTGTAACTTAGTGTGTTACTTTGAGAACTTTTCTGAAGGGAAAAGAAATTCTGCATATTTTTTTGAGGCTGAAGAAGACAGGAATGATGAGTTGATGCTGCTGTATAGGGGTTATGCTAACCTAAAGACCCCAGCCACTCCCAGTGCTTTACTGTAAAGTTCAGGTAACATTTTTGTGATCTACTGTGGTAGGGGATTTACAAGTATTTGAGCTGAAGATATTGAAAAACCTTGGCTGTGGTTTTAGTACACAGATTTTTCTTTTAACAGTACTAGAGATTAAACCCAGGGCCTTGTGCATGTTAAACGTGTTGTGTCACTGAGCTATATCCCTATCTCCCAGAATCACTTTTTCAATTTTAGAAATTAGAGGAAGTAGAGTTGAATTAGGAGGTGTTTTTATAGCTTTATTTATACGACATAAAGAACCAGTTGTAAATATTTGGTGAGATTTGTCCTGTCTTAAACTTAAATCATAATATGATTATTGTTTAAGGGAATTTAATAAAGAAGGAAAGCTTTGACAGTGTTTTGAGATCTTTCCTTATACAGGTGGCTGAAGACACCAGACAATATGCAGGCTGCTGTTGGCATACTTTCATAATTGTGTACTCAGAAGTTAACTTTCTTATTTCTTGATCAGGACTAAATTCTTTGTCCTCCTTTTCAAAGAGAGTATCATTGGCATTCCTGCACTGAAGTAAGACTGTTTCTAAGCCTGAGGTAATTTTCTTAGCATTTACTGTAATAAGCACTAAATAAGAAAAAATAGACAATCTCCCCTCCCTAGACAATAGCAAACAAGTCAGGTAAAATTGCCAGGGCTGGTTGGTTGAATGAGGATGGCAAGGGAGAGAGGGTGGGGACTAGCATCCCTGCCAGGTCCCTTGTTTGGGCGATTGAAATGAATTTAGGTGTCATTAACTTAGGTGGGAGTGTAGGTCAGCAAGGGGGCTGAGCAACTGAAGTGTTTGCTTTTAGGTGTGCCTAATTTGTGGTGCTGTGTAGCAGACAGGCGTGTAGATCCAAGGTAGGTGTGCTCTCCCTGGAGAGCATGTGAAATGAGATGAATTGTGAACTGGGAACAAAACTCTGGTTTTACAGCTTAGGCAGAGAAAGTAGAGAAAGAGGAGAGTGACTTTGTCAACAGAAACCAGGAGAATAAAGAGTCTTAGAAGTTTTGGGGTGAGAGATTTGAAATACATAATTTTACAGCCCTAGAGCTCCATGACTACCTATCAGATCCGGCTAGGCCGTGCCCTGGTAACACCCCCTAAAACTCGGGTGGGAAACATGGTTTATTTTCTCCCTCCTGTTCCTATGCATTGCTGGCCAGTTGCTCCACATTGACCTGCTGGAGGCTGACACAGAGTGCCTAATTGGAACGCTGCTAGTTGTGGTGGGAGAGGGAGAGCTGTGGAGGCTCTGGTGTAAACATATGCTCTGGTTGGGAAGTGACATCACTTTCATAATTCATTGCTTAAAACTAGGCACATGGCCCTGCTGAACCATAAGAGGGCCAGAAAGTGAAATGATACCTTGTAGGATGAGGGTCAAAAAATGGAGTCAGATTGACCAAATGTTGAAGGTGAGGAGAATGTTGAGCTCTATTTGTGAATTATAATAATAACAGTCCTGATTACAAACGTTAGTGAGTTTGGGAGGGAAAAAAGATGTCCTTGGGCTACTCTTGCCTTGTGGATTAGGATAATATGTGGATCTGTGTGGAGCCTCTCTGTTACAAAGTTACTTGCTTGAGAGAGATCTCTGGTGTGTGTGCATTTGTGTTGGGTTTGTGTATGTGTGTTTTAAGCCAACATTCAGCAAACTCCATGTGTTCCATAGCTTAGAGAAGAGAGGGTAACTTGCTATGAAGTGGAACAGCTGTGATTCAAACCCATTTATTTATTTAGTGGTGCTGGGGATTGAACCCAGGGCCTTGTGCATGTGAGGCAAGCACTCTACCAACTGAACTATAACCTCAGTCCCAAACCCATTTATTTATTTAAAGAGATGGGGGATGGGGATTTTTTTTGTTACAAGCTGGTCCCAAACTACTGGGCTCAAGCTGTCCTCCTGCCTCAGCCTCTGCAGCAGCTGGAACTGTAGGCAGCCTGGCTTAGACCCAGTTATACACATTCACATAAATCATTCTTCCTTGACTCATTTGTATGACATCACTGTAGCCTGACAAGGCAAAAATCAAACCTAAAAGTAGCTATAAGTACATAGTATACATATGACTTTGGGCTAGGTTTGTCATGAAAATTAGAATGAAAACAAGGGGGATTCTTGGTTCTCGTCCTCAACACATTGAGGTCCTGCTAGGGAGGGAATGCTGGGAACAGATGTAAACAGATAAGAGTGCTACTATGATTTATTTTTAACAACTTTATTGAACTAACTTTTACATATAAAATTGACCCTTACCAAATGTATAATTCAGTGATTTAATACACCAAGTGTAGGAACCATCACCAAGTCCATGACAACCATGGCTACATTTCTTCTCTATAAATTTGCCTTTTTTGGGCATTTCATGTAAATGGAATCATAGTATATGATCTCACGTCTTGGAGGTAGGGACGTACCAGGGATGGAACTCCGGGGCACTCAATCACTGAGTCACATCCCCAGCCCTATTTTGTAATTTACTTAGAGACAGGGTCTCACTGAGTTGCCTAGCACTTTGCTGTTGCTGAGGCTGGCTTTGAACTCACCATCCTCCTGCCTCAGCCTCCTCCTGAGCCACTGGGATTATAGGCATGTGGCACCGCGCCCAGCAGATCTCATATCTTCACTTAGCATGATGTTTTTAAGGTTCATCCATGTCAGAATATGTTAGTAACTTGTCCCTTTTTATTGCTGAATAGTATTCTGTTATATGGATAATCTACCCCATAGTGTTGGGGATCAAATTCAGGGTTTCTTACATGCTGTGTAAATTCTACTGAGCTACACCTCCATCTTGGATATTCCACATTTTATCTATATGTTCATCTGATGAGGAAGATAAGTTTCCACTTTTTGGTTGTTATAAATGATGCTGGTCTCAACACTAGTGTACCAGTCTTTGGGAATGTTTGTTTTCATTTCTTTTGGGTGGATTCCTATGATTCTATGGTTTAAAAGGGTAATTTAATGTTTAGTTTTTCAAGAAGCTGCCATCTTGTTTCTGCAAGTAACTGTACCATTTTGTGTTCCCATGGGCAGTATGTGAGGATTCCCTTCCTAATTGAAATTTAAGACAATAATGGTAAGATGTCATAACAATAGTACTTAATTACTAAATAACTGAATACTGCCGAAGGCATTTAGGAGGTATAGCATGAAAGAAGCTTAGATAATCATGGAAGTAAGAGAAGGTCATTGTGGGTGGGCAGAATAATTGAAACCAGAGCAGAGACAACCTATTTATTGAGGATGGGGATGTCACTCATTTGAACAGAAGGGAAAATCTGGCAAGGCCAGATTGTTAGATTTAGAAAAGCCTGAATTGAGAGGTTAGAGAGTTTGCATTTTATTTTTATTTTTTCTTTATTTTTTTTTTATTGGTTGTTCACAACATTACAAAGCTCTTGACATATGAGTTTGCATTTTAAATGATGGGAATTGGAGGACAGTAGGTTTTTTAGAAATGCAAAGGGAGCAGCTTTGGAGTGAGACTGCTCTAGTTTTGAATCCTGTCTTTGTCATGTTATTGATGGGGACAGATTATAGATTGGGAGATTTAGGGGCAAGCTCTTGCTGTCTTTGTGTTTTAAGGGTCAGGTTGGAGAGCTGGTAATGGGCATGATTGGGAAAAGTGTGTATGAAATACACTGCAGAGTAAAATTTGATCCAAGCTATTGACTAGTAGGGAGTAGGGAGTAGTCAGAGGTGCCCAGTCTTTTCAAAGAACAAATTTGAGAAAGTTGGAGCTAGCTTCTGGGAGAAGAGAAGTTCAGTTTTACAAGTGTTGAGTTTACTGGGATGGTGAGACCTTACACAGTTGGCTGTACACCTAAAAGTACTAGGATTTTAGTTGCTTTGGGGCTAGAGAGCGTTATAGTTAAAGCTTCATCCCAGGGTTTCATAAACTGACTTCCAGACCACTCACGTATAATTGAATCAAGCCTTTATTGAAGCACACCAATGGCGGATAACTAGAACGTAAAGATGTTCCCCTGATCAGCCCAATTGCAAGGTGCTCCTTACAAGTCTGAAAACCGCAAAAGGGATGTTCAGGGGTCTAGCCAATGCAAGCAAGCCAGGTTACAGAAGTGGTAGAGTGCAGTCAAGCAGCAGGAAGCTTAACCAATCACAATTAGCCAATCACTCCAGTTACAGAAACAGAGCCCCATTAGGTAGTTCCATTCTTAAAGGTTTCTATAGCAAAAGGAAAAGAACATCTTGCCTCAGTCATGACCCTTCTACTTGGCATAGTTGTTTTACAGGATGAAGGCATAAAACAAAATGGAGTCACATTTGTTTCTACTATCACAAGAGGAGGGAGTCCTTTAGGTAGAGTGGACAGTTGAGCTTGTGACCACAGAGGAGGGGAGGTATGTGAGAGAAGTAGAGAGGTGTTCACTAGTAATCACTTCAGGAAGACCCTGGATGTGATGGAAGACATTGAAGAAAGGATGGGAGGGGACTCAAAGGCTTTTGTCCAGTTTTGCCCAAGCAGGAGCTTGGCTGGGAGCTGGAGCCTCACGTAACATACGCACTAGGAAGATTTTACTGACTGTACTTACTATAAGGTTTTTTTTTTTTTTTACCCCATTTGAGTATTGGGGGGTTGATCCCAGGGGTGCTTTATCACTGAGACAAATCCCCAACCTTTTTTATTTTTTCTTTTAAGTTAAGGCCTTGCTAAGTTACTGAGGGCCTTGTTAAGTTGTTGAGGCTGGCTGCAAACTTAGACTCTTTCTCCTACCTCAGCCTCCCAAATCACCAGGATCATGGGCATGCGCCATCCTGCCTGGCACTATAAGTTTTGATTGAAGGAAAATAAACTTGTGAAA